CTTGCCAGTGAAAGGCAGCAAGGTATCTGACAAAAAACAGGCTAGTCTATAGGTAGGGGAGTTGATCGTGGATACGATGGGTCGTAGTGGGGTGCCTTCTTTATGAATCTTGGGAAGACCATAGAATCTAGGGGGTCTTGCAGCAGAAGGTTTTAGGGAGGGACGTTTAGTCGGGTCGATTAGGGAGGTCGAACTTGTGATGATCTTGTTTCTTCTCACACAGCTTAAAGCTTAAAGGTCGTGATCTGAGCGTGGCTTTTTTCACTCCAGCGCTGTCCTCCAGACAGTCTCGTCCCTTCACCTGATGAAGGCCGCTTGTGTTGTGGCCGAAACGTCGTGATTTTTGTTATTTTTTTACCTACGTGACTTTACCCAATAGAACCAAAGAGTATGGATCCTAGCAGTCACGAAAGCTTTAAATCTGGAATGTGGCACAGAGCCTTCTCGACTGTTGGGGCCTATTTGGGACTGCGCTTGCACACGCTACGGAGGTGTGGCCAGAACCACACCTGGCGGCCTTTGTATCCACATTGCTGATGTTAACACACATTACACCAGGTACACCTTTAAGGCTGAATGGACCTAGGGGAGACCAGAAGTTGAACTCAGGTCACCAGGTTTGTAGTTCAATGCGCTAGCAAACGTGCTACTTCACTGCTCTCCCACCAAACTTGCTCAATAACAACAAAGCGCCATTCGCCACGAAGTGGCGGTGACGTCACCACGGCGCTTGTGCCAGGCTAAGTGCACTTTTAGGCCACGTGAAGTGTCGAACGCCCGCTGGCTGGAGGTCACTGGACAGACCCATTTGCCACGGGTTGACTGATTGAGACGACTGGCCGATGCACCACACGTGCCCCCTACTGTGCCAACTTTCTGTGTTTTAGCCGCCCGTCGCTTCTCTGCCCTCCGTTGTTGTTGGAGGGCGACTGCCTCCAACTGCCCAGTAGCGTCCTTCACGAGCCTCCTCCACAGAGGCTGATCTTGACACCGCTGGCACCACTCATCGGAAAGTCCACTCAGCTCCACACCCTCCTGTACCACATCACTCCATCTCTTCTCTAGCCCGTTTAGCCTCCTCGATCCGGCCGAACAAAATATGTGTATGCATGTGTTAGCTGGGCATGTGGGCTACATAACTGTGGGAGAAGCTCACTGATGGAACTTTGTACAGCTGTTTCAAGGATCTGTGATGAGCTCCTCACACAATCCAGAATGGTTAAACCCAGGATGGATCGTAGACAGGCCAGCCTAAATGTTTCTGACCGGCGAAGATCTTCCATTAGGGGGGCCCACGTTTCGCAAGCATTAAGAAGGGACGGCATGACCGTGACCGAGAAGAAGCGGAGGTCGGAGGTCGGATCTCACACACACAGACAAATGTGTAAATACACGCATAGGCATACACGTACCCGGGTGGGAATACACTTGAATGGACGCACTTGCATGCTTACACACGCAATCACAAATTGCTATTTACCTTAATACAATAGCACGATTCTGAACAAACATGAGGTTGCATGGGTTTTGTAGACGTGCCAGTTAGGAATCACCAAAGTATGTGTTCGTAAGTCGGGCGTTCGTAAGCTGATGACTGACTGTGCAACATTACAAAACGTGAACAACGATCGGTAACGGTCTTCTTCATGCACGGCGATTCGTGTTTACAAAATCTCTGCAGCCTCTGCTCTTCACCTCTATAAGTCTCATCCCAAAGCTGCCTTCGGTCATTGTAATTCTATGCTTTTTTTTTTCATCCTCATGATATCATCTCCCTGCACTCACACTGGCCGTTGTGGCTTCATCGCAGTCCCGGGTGCGGATCCTGTGGCTGTGCAACCACAGGATCCACGGAAGCTTTTGTGGTTTTCAAACCGGTGTGGGATTGCCGTTTTGTCTCAGTGAATTGAGTGCAATGTACGAGAGATGTCCAGCAATTGTAAACGTCAGTGTCTTTCGATGATTTTCTTTATATGCCGATTCGTTGTGTTATTCACACCACCGTAACAAAAGGGCAGTTCAACATTCTGTTTGTTTGTTTAGCCCTATGATGAAGAGGAAAAAACTAGTCGCTCCGAAAAAAAAACTGTCAGTGACAGGCGCACGTGTCGACTTCAGGTCGGCACAGAAGTTTGCTGTTGGTCCGGTGCTGACCCTGCAACAGAGGCCTCGCACCTTTTGTATGTTTGTTAACTGTTACAAATCATTTTGCAATGTAGAATTGGAGGTTGCGGTTGAGTGGTTGACCTTTGTGCCCTCGCAGTATTTTACGTAAGAATGTTACATTTTACTTTATTTTTACGCTGTCCTGGAAACCTTTGTGGTGAGTCCTGACCAATGCAAACTCCTTCTGCCTTTTATTTATTTTATTTTTTACGACTTTATTATGTATGATTCATCGCTTGCGAGAATTAACGATTTTATTTTGAATATTTACATTGCACTCTCCTATAAATAAATTTAAAAAATGTATGTATTCATTCTGATCTTTTAGTCTACATCAATGTTTTGATATTCAGTATAAATATATCGAGTGCTTAATAGGATATTTTTCTTTTGATATTCCATCCCTAATTAGCTCTCCCTCTGTTCCTCCATCCATCCGTAAGTGCAGTCGATGGATGGGGGTGAGTCGGGGTGTCTATACGAAAACTCACATCGATGACACAATTTATGAACTAAACTCTCTTATGGGAGCTGTGTTGCCATACGGGACTTACACTATTCTGAAACGACCACATTCATCAATAGGTTATTGCCCAAAACACTATTTGGATATAAACGGAAGGAAACATGCCTATCTGCAGAGCTGAAAATGGGAGTTTCCCCAACAGCTACACTCGGTTTCCGTACTGATAATGAAATACTTCCTCAGACGAAGGCGTGTTTAGAAATGTTATTGAGTCCACGCTTACGCATGACGTTTTTATTGTATGCATCAAACTTGCCAAAATGTGACACGGTGCCGATACGGAAAATGATGACGCTTCACGCGGTATTAAGTTATATTTTATTTTTCCTTTAAAAAAACTCCAAACCTCTTAATCTCTATATGTACACGCACGTAGCGATCCAAACCTTTAATTGAGTTTGAGTTAATATTGGTACAAAAAAACGCCAACAAATAAATACCATTTTAAAATAAATCATGCTTTCTCTAAGACTTTGGAATTGTGATTCATTTCCAGATTTAGGCTGCAAAATCGGAGTTACACTACAAGTATTGTATTGAAGTTGGTTTTTCTACCTTGTTAACAAAATCTCTACCCCGGTTCAAACCAAAACACACGCAACTCAACAATTTCTTGCTAATAAATACGTAACATCTCGAGGTGCGCGTTCCATCTGGAGGTGGATGATCGGATTAAAGCCACCAGCGATCATAGGCGCAGCATTGCAAAGACTGATTTCATTTTTAGACAAAAAATCCAGTCGGTATTTTCAGTCGACAGACTTCTCACCAACTTGGTCAAAAACACTTTTCCCTCATTTTTCCCAAACTCCAAAACAACCACCACAAGCAACAACAAACAAACTCCATTACTTTTTTTTTATGAACCGGTTGGTCATTTGCATGCAGGTTTGGCTGCAGTGTTTTATTTTATTTTTGTAAACTGACAGGATTGTGCACACACAAAGACCCTCGCTATATCCTTCAACAGACTGTTGGGGCAAGTGCTGTTAGCGAGCAGCACCTATGAAGGCCGGCACGGCACACGAGGGGGTGGGTGACCAACACCACGTCCGACCGCCTTTGTCTCCCCAGTAGCGATGTTTACAGACTCCACCAGCTGCCCATGCAAGGTTGAGTCGACCTAGGGGAGGCACGCAACTCGTTCAGATATTCGTCACCGATGTTGGTCGTGAGTGGGAATCGAACTCGGGTCGCCGGGCTCGTAGTGCAGTGCGCTAACTGCTGCGCCACCGCTCACACGCACGCGCACACACGAATAACATGCTCTCTTGCTGCCGAGAAACTTTAAAGTTGCTCAAGGTGTATGTTGGAATCCTCACACATCAATGTGATTATCAGAATACGTAAGTGCTCTGTTCTGTAGGGGTAAACAAAACATGGGAACATGATGATAAACTGCGTGTGTGAGCGGTGGGAAACAACTGGACAGATATGTACATACCGTATTGGGAGAGTTGATACGGCGATTGAATTAACAAAAAAAAACTTGGATATAACAGTTTGGGGAATAGAAAACTGAAGTTTCCCTTCACACTTGAAATACGAACGGACCCTCGTATGAACTGAGATCGACAGAACAAAAGAAATCTGAACTCATTATTTGCATTCCCTTCAAAATCGGATTTCACTGCCACGGCTTTAACGTGAATCTTTCATGCTTGAATTTTTTGCAGTAAAAAATGTACATTTGCGAGCCACAGCCGCTGCATTTGATCAGTTTGACACAACACCATCAACAAACATTACCGTAGACACAATTTTGATTAATCATTGTGAACCATTAAAACCCATAATAGCATGATTTTTAGAAACCCAACAATCGTTGTGATGTTGCATATCTTATTGTAAAAAAAAAATCCAACCAAAACTACGAATGCAAGTTTACATTTGATTAAAACACAAACGTCAACAATTATAACGGTTAATTGTAGCCCCCTTGCGAGTCGACAAATCAAGTTGGCGATGTAAATCAATGGGCCACCACGCCTGTGGACGCGATAACGTCGTCGACGGAAGTGAGAGAGTTGTTAATAAGTGCGTCCCCTCGGGCACGTGAGCACGGCATATACGCAAGCAGCGTCACCACTCACCCACCCACCCACGCACTCACCCACCCACCCACTCACCCACCCATCCACCCACGCACTCACCCACCCACCCACTCACCCACTCACCCACCCATCCACCCACGCACTCACCCACCCACACACTCACCCACCCACGCACCCACTTATCCACGCACTCACCCACCCACCCATGCACTCACCCACCCACCCACGCACTCACCCACCCACCGACTCACACACTCACCCACCCACCACACGGTCTGTCTGTCACCTTTTCCATCGGATCAACACAGGTCTCATGGTCGATCCTGCGATTTCACATCTCGCTGGGATTCCATCTCCCGATGCCCTCTCCCTGGTTTGTCGTTCCCACCCCTGGAGCCACAAGCTCCCGCTGTGCTTCACAGCCGTCGCTGTTCGTGAATGCTGCGCTCTGCCGTGTTACTTCGGATTGCCACCTGCCATTGCTTTTCCCAGAATCGCCCTCATTTTGAGGAGGTTGCTGTCCTGGGCAATGTGTAAGTCTTCCTGGGACATTAAAAGTCCTCGCAATTTTGACGGTCGTGTAATAATAATGAGCCACTCGAGACAATGCAGTTCTCCCCCGCCCCGGTGTTGAGAGATATTGTGATATTATTCATATTTCCATGATACGTTTCTGAGAGATGACAACCCGGAAGCCACTGCACGCAATGCGTCTGACCGTGTGTGTATGTGTTCGGAGAGATTTGCCAGACAGATGTTGGTTGCTTGGTAACCTGAGGAACCATGAACCCGTGCGTTATAGCAGACATAAAAAAATTGCATTTGTTTAAAAAGTTGTTTACAATTATAAACAACTTTACTGCCTCTTTTTTTTAGCAAATCTAAACTTATCGTTGTGTAGACACGATGTGGCAGCAAATAGCCGAGTCTATGTTTTCCATTGAACAAAAAGTGGCTGAAAAACTACAAAACTATTCCTGGAGTGTTTAACGCCAGCGTTGGGTGACGCTCGGGTTATTAACGGAGATTCTCCTCCGACTTGGGATAAACACGGTCACCAAGGGTGAAATGTTTGCCTCGGCATTCTAGACCAATCAGAACTAATAACCCCCCCCCCCCCCCAACAACAGCTGACTGGATGCCCCACACTGAGCAATGCTCCATTCAATGCTTGCAGAGCCATCCACCACACTGGAGGAGTGGATTAAACTGGCCACCTGCACCCAACATCTTTAAATACACCCGAGGAATAACCTCGGCTACGTACGTTTAATGTTACCATTGCTAAAATGCACTCAGTATTAATCCGTTTTTTTATTGATGCCATTGATTGAAATAAATGCTCGATTGATTGGGAAAAAAATCCCATGGTAACCCATCACCAAATAGAGAAAATAAAAAAACCTCTGCCTAATGATAGTTAAGGATTCACACAAAGCCGGATCTTTCATGAGACGTGAACATTGATGGTAGCGCTGATTCAACGCGAACACTCTGAGAGAGGTGTTGGGCAAATCCCCAAAAGGTTAAATTACTTTGAGTGCATTAGCAGTGGCCAACTGTTGAGCCTCATCACTAACCTGCTGCACTGATGCGAGAGAAGAAAATTAATAATCGATGTTAGTTTCAACGAGTGGAAAACCGGGCAAGACGGGGGGCAAACCTGATGTCACGTCATTATACTTTCCCCATTCTCACTACTGCATCAGCCGGGAACTCCCAAGTACCCCCCCCCCCCCGTGAAGGGTTGCGTCGAGTAACCAAACCACCGTGACCCCCACCGTGGTGCTTGTTACGATTTGATTGGCTACGTGGGCCACGCTCGACAGGGCCGAGCGGCGCGTTTCTGACCCCGTCGACGTTTCCCATCCGGATTTTCGCTCGCGGCTCCGTGCCGCCCGACGCGGTCAGCTCCCCCCGCGCCGTCCCCAACACGCCAACGGCACAACAACAACAGCAGCAGCAGCAGCAACACCGAAGCCTTCACCTCAATTCACCCACAACCCGAATGCTGCAAGGTGCAGCTAACTTATACCCGCCTAGTCGCAGTCACACGCGCTCCGGTAAAACAAGCCACGGGGCGCCACTCGCCACACGTAGTCCACCATTGTCAGCTTCTTTCCATCCATGAATTCAGGAACACTTGTGTGCCTCGTGCTTTTGTCAACAGCCGAGTCCACGCCAGTTCCACCCGTCCAATGTTGGGTGGCGCGGGGATGGGGGGGGATGTGTGACAAAAAAATAAACGGGTCCTCCTTTGCCAATCCGACCTCTTCTCCGGAGACTCTGCCGCCCCTTGCCTGCCGCGCTCTCAAGGGACTCACGCCCTGCGTGCTCGCGACTCGTGCTTGAGGATCGCCTGCCCGCTCAAGCCGAGCGAGGGGCTCGGGTTCCCGCTGCCGGCTCCGGCGGCGGCTCCGGCGACGGCTCCTTGCCCGCCAGCCGCTGCCCCGAGCGCCGCCGGCGGGGAGGGTCGCCCGACCCGCTTGGCATTGCCCGGCAGGGACAGCAGGTGGCTGCCGGCGCCCGCGATGGTGCTCGTGGCTGGCGGGTCGGCCGTCGTCTGCTGTCCCCCCATGCCACCGCCTCCACCACCACCACCACCTGCGGTGCACAAAGGCAGAGAAATGGGGAGATCGTGAGCACAGTTTGATCAGCGGTGTCAAACAAAGGGCACGGATGCAGCCCTGCAATTCTAGATTTGAAGCTTTCGTGACTGCAAGGATCATACTCTTTGGTTCTATTCGGTAAAGTCATGTAGGTAAAAAAATAAAACAACAAAAAATAAAAAAAAAATGTTACGTCATTATACTTGTTTTATTTTTATACCTACGTGACTTTACCGAATAGAACCAAAGAGTATGGAGCCCTACAATTCCTTGGCAGAGTGGGCCTCCACTAGAGGGAGCTCTAGATTCTAGAGGGTCTTTCTCAGTGGTATTCTGGCTTCATTTTCTGCACAAGGCAGATCGGAGTAACCCATGGTTTGTTTCAGGAATTTTTTTTACATTCCGTTGAATGCCCTGTATCGTCTCTAGTGGCGGTACCGGTCACGTGAACAAATTATAACAATCGAATAGTCGATTCTCACATTCCATGTATGTTTGAGGATTGCAATAATGTATTTTAGTCTGAATCACTGCATGGTTAATGCCGATTAGATAAACTTTGGGTAGTGAGTGTGTCTCTGCAGTTGCGTGGCGTATGCCGTTTCCACTAAATTCCATGTCTGTAAAATTGTACTTAATCAGAGGATAACCTAAACGCAAATTCACAAACAGTAGACTCACAATTACTATTTATTGTTCATGAAACCAACCAGAAAATATTAAACATTGCTGCTGCATTGGCAGTGGTGCGGAAGTATAACAATCAAAAACAACACGCTCGTCACGAACACTGTGGCCTTAAAATAAAATAAATCGGCAACGTTTTGAGTAATGGCCCTCTTCAAAGCACCACATCGTTGACGCATGCGTTGAGTTTCGATGCAATCGCAACATCGGTCTAGTAGTTGATAATATTTCAAAGAATTCCGTTAAAATTATACAATAGTTCGTGTTTTATATGTGTCCGCTGTTTATACAGATTGCATTCGGTAAGTTATATAATGCTTGGCCAAGCATGTTACATTTTGCTTCGCAAAATAACAAAAGAACGAAATCTACAAACCACATATCTAGTGACTTTACATATACAGCGCCAGCATTCACGTCCATGAGCCATGTTGACTATTCGACTCGGTGACAAGGGAGACTCAATCACGGTTACAAGTGGCACATCAGGTGGCTGTACCAAGTCGCCGCTTGTGTTCATGTGCATGGTACCGTGGCATGGGTAAAATATTGTCCGTTCATATGTGGCTTATTGGACATGTACCGATGCATTGGTTCGTCAATTAATGTGAATTGTTAATTTCACAGCGCACGAATCGAATTATGTGCCTGTGATTATCGATGTTGATAGCAGCCCTGACAAATGAGGGTTGGTGATTGCAGGGAGAAGGCATTCATCCACCAGTGGATAGACAATGGAAGATGCACATTGTAAGTATTATCTGTACATGTGTGTGTGCAGTTACACTCCACATAATACACAAGGTGTCGACACACGGTGTGTATACTGATAGTGATTTAATGAAATAAACATATCTCCATTCCACTCTCCACATGAAAAAATAAATGTTTTATACATGACACCCTATGGGCTTTCCAGACAAATAGTATTCCATCAGCCTTTGTTTACTCAGCATAACTTTGGACCAGTTCCGACCTTCTGGGTCTCATCAGCAGTCAGGCTTGTTGAACGAACACTGCTGGTTTGCCAGATGTTATTTACGATTAATTGCAGGCACATGAATAGTGCGTCATGTGTACACATCATACATACACACCGTGTCGTGTGTACACATCATGCGTACACACCGTGTCGTGTGTACACATCATGCGTACACACCGTGTCGTGTGTACACATCATGCGTACACACCGTGTCGTGTGTACACATCATGCGTACACACCGTGTCGTGTGTACACATCATGCGTACACACCGTGTCGTGTGTACACATGACGTGTACACACCGTGTCGTGTGTATGCATGATGTGTACACACGACACGGTGTGTATGCATGATGCACGGATATGGGTTTAAATTAAGAAAATTATCTGGTAATACGGTGTTGTATGTATAACTTATTTTGCACTGTACATAGCCACCCGCGATAATAAATCGTAGGTGCGGCAGTGGTGTACAAGCACACATAACAATATGGAACGTTTTGTGCAGTGGCACTTCTTCACAGCACGTCGCGAGGCCAGAAAGGTGGAGTCAAATTAGTCAACTATGAAAAATAAAAAAAAGGGTTTGATTCTTTCTGGCAATAAAACAGATGTTAAAATGTTCAACCACCAAATACATACATCTTGCAAGGAATAAAGTCTGCATTAAACACCCGTACTCGTGGTGAACATTCAAACAAACACGCCCTGATAATATATTAGGCATTGTCTTTGAAACAGAATGGACTACACCAGGGACAGCCTTCTTTGTGGGCTAGTCTCACCACCCTTGTCAGACCAGGGAACGCCAGAAGGCGGACAGCAAATACAACGCACTATCAGAGCAGTTAGAGCTCGGGGTGAGCAGATATAAAAAAAACGGTCCCATGATAAAATTAGTCAGTTATTCACCTAAAAATTTGAATCGGCTACGTTTTGACGTAGTCTATGACTCAGGTCCCTATGAAAATAGCGCCCACACCCTCCATCCTGCCTCCCGAAGGCAGGCAACCCCCCTACAAGCCACACCCAGCCGATGATGCTGATGATGATGACACAAAGCCCTGCCCATCACCTCGCATAAGGGTCCCATGTGGGAACAAAGGGCGATACTTTATTTCCAACGATCTTGTGTCATCTAATTAAATTGTATAATTTCAGTTGAACACATAGGCTTTTGCGACCAATATCATCCATGATAGAGGTTTTTTTGGGTTAGATCGCGTAAATATATACATATGTCGTTAAAACCCGCCACCACCCGACACAGCCAACTAGTGAGGTTTGTCACGTAAACAGAACGTGGCCAATTCGTCACTAGTACAGCAGCACACCGGTGTGTTGGAGAGCCAAGCCACAACATTTACAATCCGAGTACGACGTTTCGCCAGTAATTACAACTAGCTTCATCAGGCGACAGCCAGATTTGTGGAGAAGTCCACCTGTTTTGTTCCTCATATAGAGGCGTAGATGTGGTGACCACGCTTCTGCGCTCTTGCACAAAGTGGAGGGAGGGGATTTGCTTCCACGCAGCACTAAGGCGGTAGCTATCCGAACGGCTAAAATTTGTTTTATTTATTTAAATTTCAATATATTCTCTAATTAGTCTTGGCCAGTAGTAGCTAGTTTTGCACAGAACTTCAACAATATCAAAATCAATTGAGTGTCCTTGTTGGCACGCGTGTTCTGCTACTGCTGACAGTTGTATTTGGGATAATTTAATATTTATCTGATGTTCTTTTAGTCTCGTGCTGATCATTCGTCCTCTTTGCCCAACATAACATTTACCACACGTGCAGTTAATCCTGTACACACTTTCTGTTGATAGATTCGGTAATACATATTTTGTACCAGTAATTCATTTCTGTATTTTATGTACCGTGCCAAATCTGACTCGGATATTTTGTTTTTACAAACATCTGGCTAGTTTATCACTTGCTCCCACAATGAACGGTATTTTGATCGTTTTAATTACTTGGGCAGTTTCAATGCTCGTGTTATTTGATTTGGTTTTGGCATTCAATGTCGTGTTGATTTGTGCATCATTGTAACCATTAATTTGCAGCACTTCTTTAACAAGTTGAATTTCACTTCTCAGACTGTCACCATCTGACACTTTCTTAGCTCGATGAATGAGCGTCTCGATAAGAGCAGATTTTTGTGTGGGATGATGGTGTGACTGCATTCAGATAGGCGTCACACTGTGTGTTATTTTTCCATTTCGACCCCGTCCGAGCAGAATATCCAGAAGTGGTAGCGTTCTGTCAACTTCCACTTCCATGGTGAACTGGATGGATGGGTTTTGCGAGTTGAGATGATTTAGAAATGCGTTCAGTGTATCTTTGCCATGTGGCCAGACCACCAATGTGTCATCCACATATCTAAACCAAGCGGATGGTTTTAGTGTGCTTGAAGCTACTTCTTTTGTTTAAAAATCTTCCATGTACAAATTCGCTATCACAGGAGACAAAAGAGAGCCCATTGCTGCTCCTTCCTTTTGTTTATAGAAGTCACCTTGCCACAAGTAGGTGTTCTTTAGACAGTGTTCAGCTAGTCTTGCGATATCTTTGGCTAAACCTTCGTTCATTACCATAGTGTCAAGTAATGTAATTGACTCGTTGACCGGAACCCTCGTGAACAGAGAAGTCACATCAATACTTACGAGAATATCATTAGGGTTCAGCTTAATATCTTTAATTATATTCACAAGATGTTCTGAGTTTTTGATAAACGAAGAAGTCCTGCCGATGTAGGGCTGTATTTGTTTCGTTATGTATTGTGCTAATTTGTACGTGGCAGAGCCTATTGTACTAACTATGGGTCTTAATGGGACATCAGGTTTGTGAATTTTTGGTAGCCCATAAAGTCTTGGTGGTTTTAATGCCCTTGGTTTGATCAGGTATTGCTCTTCCTTTGGAATTGATGACTTGGCAATGATTGCCGTTGTTTTACACTCCAATGGGCTGGTTAGGTCTCGTTAATTTTAAGGTAGGTACCTTCATGGAGTAAATATTTGATTTCATTATCATAGTCCTCATGGGGCATCACAACAGTTGATCGGCCCTTGTCAGCAGCAAGAATTTGGATATCTTTATTTGCTCTCAATTCTCTTAAGGCTTTTGCTTCACTGAAGTTAATGTTTGTTGTGTGCTGTACGAGTGACGAATTGGCATGTTCTGTTTACGCGACAACCCTTACTAGTTGACTGTGTCGGGAGGTGGTGGGTTTTCAATGACAAATTTATATATTTACACAATCTAACCAAATAAACCTTTATTTTGTATAATTTCATCTGTCAAATTGGTCCAGCAATCGACAAATTGTAAAATCGGAGAGCCCAGCTCTTGTTTAAATGCACATAAATGTGGTGGAGGGATTTAAAGGCGCATGTACGGTTGCAGCGATGTGGTGATTCGATGATATATAGCGAACGGTATTAGAGCCACAATATTGGTGTCGTCTGTTTTGCTAAATATCGTCATATCGTGAATTTTGTTGTTGTGTATTTCTGCGTTGTTTTCACGTTAATATTTCTGACCAAATATTTACAATGCTTCAATACTGTAATTTCACAGAAAAGTTAAAGTAACTGCTATTACCTATTAAATTCGTGTTTTGTAAATAGTTTTCCGGATAATTTGACTGCACGATAATTACGTGATATCATCCCTTTCATAATTAGATTACATGTTGTGTTATTTCCTTTTAAACTGGCAGCATGTGCCCTATGATCATTATAGACTGTAAAGTTATAACCAGAAATACTGAAGGAAGGCCTTGTGTTTGAGTTAACTGCACAAAAACAACAATGAAAGTGTGAAATACTATTACGAAGTTATGGGATATCGGGATATAATCGTCGTATTGTGAATATTGTGTCGTGCGGCGTGGTGACCTCGCGTCTTCTTCTGCAGCGCCAACGCTCGGTGCCGCTCGCCGTTCGTCTGGAACACGGTGCTGGGAGGCGTCGTCAGCGGATCCAGGGAGTGCAGCTCTCCACCTGCATCATCAACGTCGTCGTCGGCATTGACAATAACATCAACCATCGCCCAAGGATATCGAACGAGTTTTAAATCCACACGTCACCCACATAGTTGATATGGTGCTCGTTTATCATCTGAAGTAATCCATTATCATTACTTTAACATCTCACCAAATGTACAGAATAATCTTTGTCATTATTGAATTATAACTGATGGATCGGCACTTTCCTCTTTGTCATCTATCTGATAATGTCACGAACCCCGGGTGCGCTCCGCGAGGTCGTGCCCTTACTCGCCTGTGGGCTGATAGCCGGGTTGGTGCTTTGCTCTGACGATGACAGCCGGAGCGATCCCTCCTCCTCCACCGGCACCGCCACCGGCACCGCCACCAGCGCCGGCGCCGCCAGGGGCTGGCGGGGGGTGCAGCATCACCGAGGCGCGGGGTCGGGGCTTGGGCTGCCCGGGGTTCTGGCCGGCACGACCCCCAACCCCCGTGGGCCCGGCGGCGGCCGCCGCCGAGATCTTGTGGTCAGACAGCGTCTCCAGGACGCGCTGCTGCGCGGCCTTCGGCTTGGGCAGCTGTTGTGGAGGGAGAGGACGGACTCTTTCAAGACGGGACACGCTTCAAGGTCAGTTGATTTTATTTGCTTCAGGTGTTTCCGCAATTTATTGTCGTTGTGCTATTATGTCGTGTCGTGAGACGACACATCCACGTGGAACTTCCGCGGACCAAGCAAAGCCTGTGTGGTAGAGAATGGCCGATGGCGGCGGACTTTAACTGAACTTCTGAGATCCATTCAAATGGTATTTTTATCCCCACACGCGGGGACAGCACACCTTCTCGCACGCCCTGCTAAGAGGGAAAGTCTTGTTACCAACTTGACAGTGAAACTGATATGCAGCCAAATTTAGTGGAAAATCAAATTTAAGGTTTTTATTTTTTATTGGCGAAATTGGTGTCCAGGCACTGGCCATCAGCTTGCTATACTCAGATTGTATGCAGGAGCTCCCTGACAAAGGCAAATATCAGTCCCAATAATTACGCTCCATAGCGAATGAACGGCCACATGAATGTATTTTGTCATGGACTTCATGCATTGCTACGGCTGTTGACTGTTTCCAATATTCTGGCAGATTTACTGTATGTGAGATATTATTCAGGAGGATAAACTGTACGTGGAGTCTCGGCCAGCCACCGATACATTACTTTGGAGCTTCTGGACCAGGTTGATTTTCCATTAACGGCAATGGAGAAAAGGGAGGCCCAGACTGCCCAGAGCAAGTTTGCACGGGGACTTTACAGTCCTGATGTTAATTAAAATACGCGGTGCAAACATTGGCACCAGAATTTGCTGGCTCCCACTCTGAAACCCACCGCGCTTTCTCACTGTAGCCTGGCGGCGAGCCACTGAGGCATCACGTTTCGACCTTGGAATGATCTCAGTGTTCTCGGGGAGGAGGCTCGGCGATGTTGTCGGCCTCACGTTACTGCCGGGGACAACGGGCAGCGCGAGTAATCGGAGAGGGAGTGAACAACGGCTCTCCCCCCCCCCCCCCTCACCGGGCCGACGAAAAAGGCAAAAATAAATGGATCGCCGGCTTGCGCGCCAACTCTCCGTCACCTCTGGGGGCGGTCAAGGCAGTGGACGCGATGGAATAAACCCCAGGCAGCTTCACGTCTCCCCCCGGGCGTGCACCGTGCGTGGCGACCGCCGTGCCTCGCCGCTTGCAGCGAGGGCTGCGCTGAGAGCTGGCAACGTTGTGAAGTTGGGCTAGTGTCAAGCTAAAGTGTTGCATGTATGTATGTATGTTGAACTTCTTTCCCACCCTACGTAGCCAACTGTGCCAATCGGAGGTGCGGGGGATGGACAAGTGCAATTGCCATCTCTCCCACGCTCGCTCCGGCGTAAAGGTGCAAGCCCTGAAATTGCTCGTTTATGCCACTGCTGCCAGATGGCCCTCCACTAGAGGGAGCTTTGCAGAGTCCCTTAAGACGTCAATTGCCATCCCTCCCACGCTGGCCCGACGTCGCGCAAGAGGTGGCAGTACCCACACTTCACCCCACGACATGCCACCCGCCAATCGACTAACTGTGGGCGTGCACATTTGCACTGCTGGGTATACAGGGGAGGTGGGGTTAAGAAAGCTGCCGCATTTTTTTCTGTAATCAATCCTCTTTCCTTGTTACGGTTCGCGCCTTGTACCAGGCTGGTGTCGAATGTAAAAAGAAAAGAAGAAAAAAAAACTGCCGTGCCAAGGGATTGAATCGAACCGGTGACCTCCGGGTTGTAAGTTCAACCATTACAGCAACACTGTTGTGTTAGCACGCACTGTATTCTTAAGCCACTCGGCCCTGTTGGAGCTTAACACGAGCGAGGCAAGTGACGTCACGACACACAGGGTCGTGGCCCCATTGACCTCCGCGATGTCATGAGTGCCGGAGCAAAAAGAGCCGCTGCTTTTCCAAAGCAGTGCTGCCGGTCCCGAGGCTCCAGCTCAATTAATAACGACGAGGGCACAGCTTTTCCAAAATCACGGGAGTGCCACAGGCAAGAGAACTGGACAAGACTGGCCAGAGCCCGACCCAATGAACATTGCGCTGTGCAATTGCAGGAACCTTGTTCTAGCACAATTGGGTTCCCAACCCTTTCTGGATCCGCCGCCACCGTCCACCGCCCAGCGTTCTTTCACGGGCCACTGTGCACCAAGAACATTTTTTTTAATTAAAATGACTATATCGTGGCATCTACAACAGTTCCACGGAAGCATTTCCCACTTGCCTTATGAATTACCGTGATTAGTCCATGGACCACAGGTTGGGAAGCAGTGTTCCAGCAGTTTATCATTCGCTGGCAGCGATTCAGAACTTCACCGTGAGGCTAACTCCGGACGGCCCGTTCACCGACCCCGCACATGAACACGCGAACACTGCCGATTAACTTCCCCCACGGCGTGAATAAGAAAGACGACCTTCCCCGAGCCGGGAGTTTTTGTTGTTGTCTATTCCCGTGGGTTCGGCCACACCTCTCGCCAGCACTCACCGCTTGTCTGCCGACCTCGAAGGAGCGCGACCGCATCTTGCGTCCGTGCGGCTGCTCTGCATGAGCCTGACTCTGCTGCTGGTGCTGCTGATGCTGCGACACCGGCGGCGGAGCCTGAGCACCATGCGGGGCGGCTCGGCGGGGCTGCCGTCGTGCCTGCAGCTCGGCCCGGTCGCTCTGCAGGGAGTCGGCCCGCTCCCTCCCGGCCAGCGCGTCGGTCCCCGCGACGTGAGCCGGCAGGGTCCGTCCTTGCGCCGCCGCGGTGGAGCCGGGCCCGAGGCTCTCCTCGCTGCTCGCCTGGTTCACGCGGAAGGTACCCGTGTGGCCGCCCAGTGCGGTGCCTGACTCGCAGGGACGGGCGATGCCAGGGAGAGGCCGAGTGTCGATTAAAGTCAAAGTGGTTTTCCGTTTGCAGCCCGCACCTCCGATTAGCACGGTTGGCTACGTACGGCGCAAAAGAAGTTCGACATGCATACAGCCCTCAGCCAGTGGCGGAAAGTAATCATTCCTATGACAGGGGCAAATCTATCCATAGGGCACCCACTGTGGACTCCTCCACACAGTGATAATGATGACCCCATAGGGATGATGATTTGCGTCAACCCTTCCGACCAGGACTTGTTTGGTTAATATGCCCGCCGCGGTATTAATCAGGGCCGCCGCTAGATTCGAAAAGTGAACCACTGCAACATGCTGTGGGCGTGCAGTCTGTTTTAAACCCAATCAACGGAACAAGACACGTGCAACACATGCATCATTCCTGGACAGACCACGGATAAAAATGATGGCCACAACCACCGCCGCCACCACCATTGCCGTACCTAGCGAATGCTGAGAGTTCACATGGGAGGCCGTGATTCCTGACCCGAACCCCAAACCCGCTCCCTCCAAGGGCTCCATGGCTCTCGCCCGCGACCTCCTCCGCTCAGCGATGACGGAGATACTTTTCGTCCCCGTGGCGATCTCCGCGGTTATGGCCGGTGCCACCCGGGTGTTGATGCCTGTGTTGCCATGCTGCTGTTGGTGGTGGTGGTGGCTGTTGACGCTGTTGAGGTTGACGACGTTGCTGTTGTTGTTGCCGCTGGCCTGCGTGCGTCCACGTGGCCTGGCGCGTCTCTGGTCCCCGTGTCCCAGTGCCGCCCCTCGTGTGCCCTCGGGGGCCGGGTCACCTGACAGGCTGCTGTTGCAGCGGTCGCTCAGGCTGGCCAGGCTGCTCGTGTTCTGCTCCGGTTTCTGTGTGGCAGTTGAGGGGGGAAGGGGCGGGGGTGGATTATCATGAGTGAGGTCGTCAACAGTGCCATCAGTTAACATCTTACGGTGGCGAGGAGTTAACTACCTCACCTGCTATACAGGAGGTTGTGGGTTTGATCCCGACCCTGACACCTGCTGTATGTTGGTAGTTTGAGAGTCTCTCTAACTGTGGTCATGTGGATATTTCTCAGGGTTCCTCCAGCTTTTGCCTCCACGATAAGAAACGTGCGTTTAGAGTATCTGGCTGTTGCTAAACATTTCCACATGATAAGCCACTTCGTTGAGCTATCATTTGTGGCCAGGTGACTTCAGAACAATCAGTGGGCCTTACCTGGTAAAATAAAAAAAAGATGTAAACATAAAGCTGCAGCCCCGCAATAGCTTGGTCACACCACTGCCGGCAGAATGGCCAGGAGGTGGTGGCTATGCACGCCTGTAATCCGTCCCTGTGGAAGCAGCGAGGAGGTGGCCATACCCTGGTTCGCCAGTAGAAGGCATGACAGCAAATGTGGACTTCACCTGTTCCATCTGTATTGGATAGAGTGTTGCCCCACTCTCCAGGCACTCCAGTTTCATCCCACATGTAAACACTCATTAAGTGACGTATAACACCGTCACGTACAGTGGACCACAGAGCTTGGGTAATTGTCAGCTGACCGATGTGGCTGCCTCCCCACCTGGCTGTGGTTTCTCGTGACTCTGATCATTCCCTGCCTCCGAGGAATGAGTGCATACTGTGTGCGATACGAGCCGAAATTATCGTTATTATTAATCAGTAGCATCGCAAGTGATATCCACTGTTTGCATGCAATTATCTATGTATTTATTTATTATTCAGGATTCTTTTAGGTTGATGGCCTAAAACATATCCCATGGGATAAAAAAAAAAATATCCCATGAATACGTTTAATATTGGCTTTCACTCAGCGTATCCAGGCCTGAATACCAAACTCTGCAGTTCAATCATCGTGTGATTGAAAATTCTGTTTGGGCAAGTTTTTTATTTCTCTCTCTGTTATAATGAATGTGGGAGGAAACTGGAATGCCCTGAGAAAACCCACACTTAATGAAAGGAAAAAAATAAAAAGCACAAATCCCATGCATAATCCCAGAGCTTACTCACGAACACTCAACATCTCCAAAGCTTGGCGCCATCTCAGCGGACGTATATATTTTCATTTAACACACTCGCAGCCAGCAGTACAGCATCACAATGTCAGAAAAAAGGCCCTTATAAAGAAGACGACTTGCATAGAAATGCATCTGGAGGGTCCGGTTGTACAACATTTTGTAAACGAAAAGTTGCCTTAAAGTCTCAGTGCGAGCAGTAAACGTTTAAGGGAAATGACATCAGGTGTTTTGTTTGTTTGTTACGCAAGGGGCCAATTTAACTGTCCTCTTCACAACACTCTGGGGATGCGCCGCTTTACACGCTATGCAAAGATTGCTCGTCGGGTGGTAATTAAGATGGCTGCGCAATTTGGTCGGCAGAGCTGGAATACTTCGAGCCAGGTAAAAAAAAAACAGAAAAACAGCGGATGGCGGCGTTCGGCAATATGGTGCCTGTGACGACCCGCGGTGCGTGCCACCCTCACCTGGTGCCCGGAGGAGACGGTGGTGACGCGGATTGGGGGCGGCGTGGCCACCGATGACTTGTAGATCTGCCGTGCTTTGGGGCTTTTCTTGAACACTTTGTTGCTGTCGCTTCGCCCGTTTAACGAACGCATGCATGCACACACGGACATAGACAAAGATCCCACCATATGAACCTTATGGCGGGAGCCCAGGGTCCCATGAGCCCCCGGCTCTTGCAATAACAGCGTTGTGTCGTCATTTTATGTCTGCTGAAGGCGAACGATACGACAATCTAATCCTCTCGACGAGCTCTACACGATGCGCTAATCAAAGTTTCAAAGTTTTGTTTATTCTGCGCATTCGTCCTCGCCACTGCACTTGGACATCACATGACAACAGAATGATCTGCGCCAGGTGGGTCGCGGCGTTTATGTGCGCGGTGGGACGGGGTCGCCAGAAAATAAATTAATTCATTACGATTTTGACTTCCGTTTATTCGGGACCTCAGGGTCCCGCCGTAAGGTTCATATAGCCTTGTATTCATGTGGAACTTCTTTCGCACCGTACGCAACCAACCGTGCTAATCGGAGGTGCGGACTGCAGGGACGAGTGCTGTTAGTGAGTACCCATGAAAGTCCGGCACGGCACACAAGGGGGTGGGTGGCCAGCACCACGTCGGGCTGCCTTTGCCTCCAAAGTGGCGATGCTTACACATCGCACCAGGTACTCATTTGAGGCTGAGTCGATCTAGCGGAGTCCCAGGAATGGTTCAGATAATCGTCACTGGTGGTGTTCATGCGTGGGAATCGAACTCCCGCCGCCGGGTTTGTAGTGCAGCGCTCATCGCTACAACCCCCGCTCCCCCGCCCAACACGTACAGACAGAGACAAGACACGTGGATACAAAAAACAGACGCGCTCTCTTTGTTAGTCTGGTCGGGCTGTTGTTTGGTGTGGGTATGCTGGCGGATGGGGAGATGGTCGTCACAACACACCGCAAGATCCCCTTGAAAAAGAGGCATAAAATATTAAATTGAATGAAAACCCATCGGTTAAGCGAGAGTGTTTTCCTGCTCAAATGAGCAATGGACAGTGCTCATCTCCATTGGTGGTCCTGAGCCATTGGTGGAAAGTCTACAGTCCTATGGCAAGGCTCTGTCTTTCTCTGCTTTTCATTGTACATAATACTAGGGCCTCGAGTTAGCGACGTCCAGTCAAGTAAAAGTGCAACTCCTCCTCCGCAGGGAGCATTTAGCTGCTGCATTGCGGCTGTGAGAGGCACCCGAGGTGGCGGGGGGGGGGGGGGGGGTGAACCAATTATTCTTTGTTCCTTATCTCCCAGCAGCAGGGGAGACACAGGCATATTGTAACCAGGGCCTCCAGGGGGGCGGGGGGGGGCAGGGGAGTGATTTGGGGTTGGGGGCAAACGATTTAATTAGCAACCGAGTCTCACACAAAGAGAGCCCCACAACGAGCCGGTTTATATTGTCGTTAATGAACAGGGGGGGGGTGGGTAGGGTGCCCACGTGGCCTCCTCCTGCCCCATGTCTTCAGAAACCTCGGGGCCCCTCCAGTGCACCGATCAAGATCCCTAATATTTATGAATACTAGGAATCCGATGAACTATACATTCATTTTTTCACAGATGTCTGTCCAGATCTGTGCGAGCGAGAGGCACCTATCAACGTCCACGTTGAGTGAGAGGCACCTATCAAGGTCCACGTTGAGTGAGAGGTACCTATCAAGGTCCACGTGAGTGAGAGGCACCTATCAAGGTCCACGTTGAGTGAGAGGCACCTATCAATGTCAACGTGAGTGAGAGGCACTTATCAATGTCCACGTGAGTGAGAGACACCTATCAAGGTCCACGTGAGTGAGAGGCATCTATCAATGTCCACGTGAGTGAGAGGAACCTAACAAGGTCCACGTGAGTGAGAGGAACCTAACAAGGTCCACGTGAGTGAGAGGCATCTAACAAGGTCCACGTGAGCAAGAGGCATCTATCAATGTCCACGTGAGCAAGAGGCACCTAACAAGGTCCACGTGAGTGAGAGTCACCTATCAATGTCCACGTGAGTGAGCGGCACCTATCAATGTCCACGTGAGCGAGAGGCACCTAACAAGGTCCACGTGAGTGAGAGGCATCTATCAATGTCCACGTGAGTGAGAGGCACCTATCAACGTCCACGTGAGTGAGAGGCACCTATCAACGTCCACATGAGTGAGAGACACCTATCAACGTCCACGTGAGTGAGAGGCACCTATCAACGTCCACGTGAGTGAGAGGCACCTATCAACGTCCACATGAGTGAGAGACACCTATCAACGTCCACGTGAGTGAGAGGCACCTATCAATGTCCACGTGAGCGAGAGGCACCTATCAATGTCCACGTGAGTGAGCAGCACCTATCAAGGTCCACGTGAGTGAGAGGCACCTATCAATGTCCACGTGAGTGAGAGGCACCTATCAATGTCCACGTGAGTGAGAGGCACCTAACAAGGTCCACGTGAGTGAGAGGCACCTATCAACGTCCACGTGAGTGAGAGACACCTATCAACGTCCACGTGAGTGAGAGGCACCTATCAACGTCTACGTGAGTGAGAGGCACCTAACAAGGTCCACGTGAGTGAGAGGCACCTATCAACGTCCACGTGAGTAAGAGGCACCTATCAACGTCCACGTGAGTGAGAGGCATCTATCAACGTCCACGTGAGTGAGAGACACCTATCAACGTCCACGTGAGTGAGAGGCACCTATCAACGTCCACGTGAGTGAGAGGCACCTATCAATGTCCACGTGAGCGAGAGGCACCTATCAACGTCTACGTGAGCGAGAGGCACCTATCAATGTCCACGTGAGTGAGAGGCACCTATCAATGTCCACGTGAGCGAGAGGCACCTATCAAGGTCCACGTGAGTGAGAGGCACCTATCAAGGTCCACGTGAGTGAGAGGCACCTATCAACGTCTACGTGAGTGAGAGGCACCTATCAAGGTCCACGTGAGTGAGAGGCACCTATCAATGTCCACGTGAGCGAGAGGCACCTAACAAGGTCCACGTGAGTGAGAGGCACCTATCAATGTCCACGTGAGTGAGAGGCACCTATCAACGTCCACGTGAGTAAGAGGCACCTATCAACGTCCACGTGAGTGAGAGGCACCTATCAACGTCCACGTGAGTGAGAGGCACCTATCAAGGTCCACGTGAGCGAGAGGCACCTATCAATGTCCATGTGAGTGAGAGGCATCTAACAAGGTCCACGTGAGTGAGAGGCACCTATCAAGGTCCACGTGAGTGAGAGGCACCTATCAAGGTCCACGTGAGTGAGAGGCACCTATCAACGTCTACGTGAGTGAGAGGCACCTATCAATGTCCACGTGAGTGAGAGGCACCTATCAACGTCCACGTGAGTGAGAGGCACCTATCAATGTCCACGTGAGTGAGAGGCACCTATCAACGTCTACGTGAGTGAGAGGCACCTATCAAGGTCCACGTGAGTGACAGGCACCTATCAAGGTCCACGTGAGTGAGAGGCACCTATCAATGTCCACGTGAGTGAGAGGCACCTATCAACGTCTACGTGAGTGAGAGGCACCTATCAATGTCCACGTGAGTGAGAGGCACCTATCAACGTCCACGTGAGTGAGAGGCACCTATCAATGTCTACGTGAGTGAGAGACACCTATCAATGTCTACGTGAGTGAGAGGCACCTATCAAGGTCCACGTGAGTGACAGGCACCTATCAAGGTCCATGTGAGTGAGAGGCACCTATCAATGTCCACGTGAGTGAGAGGCACCTATCAAGGTCCACGTGAGTGACAGGCACCTATCAAGGTCCACGTGAGTGAGAGGCACCTATCAACGTCTACGTGAGTGAGAGGCACCTATCAATGTCCACGTGAGTGAGAGGCACCTATCAAGGTCCACGTGAGTGACAGGCACCTATCAAGGTCCACGTGAATGAGAGGCACCTATCAACGTCTACGTGAGTGAGAGGCACCTATCAATGTCCACGTGAGCGAGAGGCACCTAACAAGGTCCACGTGAGTGAGAGGCACCTATCAATGTCCACGTGAGTGAGAGGCACCTATCAAGGTCCACGTGAGTGAGAGGCACCTATCAATGTCCACGTGAGTGAGAGGCACCTATCAACGTCCACGTGAGTGAGAGGCACCTATCAAGGTCCACGTGAGCGAGAGGCACCTATCAATGTCCATGTGAGTGAGAGGCATCTAACAAGGTCCACGTGAGTGAGAGGCACCTATCAATGTCTACGTGAGTGAGAGGCACCTATCAAGGTCCACGTGAGTGAGAGGCACCTATCAAGGTCCACGTGAGTGAGAAGCACCTATCAACGTCTACGTGAGTGAGAGGCACCTATCAATGTCCACGTGAGTGAGAGGCACCTATCAACGTCCACGTGAGTGAGAGGCACCTATCAATGTCCACGTGAGTGAGAGGCACCTATCAACGTCTACGTGAGTGAGAGGCACCTATCAAGGTCCACGTGAGTGACAGGCACCTATCAAGGTCCACGTGAGTGAGAGGCACCTATCAATGTCCACGTGAGTGAGAGGCACCTATCAACGTCTACGTGAGTGAGAGGCACCTATCAATGTCCACGTGAGTGAGAGGCACCTATCAACGTCCACGTGAGTGAGAGGCACCTATCAATGTCTACGTGAGTGAGAGACACCTATCAATGTCTACGTGAGTGAGAGGCACCTATCAAGGTCCACGTGAGTGACAGGCACCTATCAAGGTCCACGTGAGTGAGAGGCACCTATCAATGTCCACGTGAGTGAGAGGCACCTATCAAGGTCCACGTGAGTGACAGGCACCTATCAAGGTCCACGTGAGTGAGAGGCACCTATCAACGTCTACGTGAGTGAGAGGCACCTATCAATGTCCACGTGAGTGAGAGGCACCTATCAAGGTCCACGTGAGTGACAGGCACCTATCAAGGTCCACGTGAATGAGAGGCACCTATCAACGTCTACGTGAGTGAGAGGCACCTGTCGTGGTCGGGGTGGATGGGCGGCAGCGCGTCGCGCATCGTGTCTCTTCCCCCCCGCGCCAGGCGCCCCTTGCCACGCCCCTTGCTGCGCCGCTTGGCATCGAGCGGTGAGCCCTCGTCCTCGCGCTCCGACTCGGGCATCTCCAGGGCCATCAGCGACGCGGGGCCCAGCATGGGCAGGGACCGCTCCTGCGGGACGATGAGGAGGAGCGGTGGGTGTGGCAATGGGTGGGGGGAGGGTGCAGGGAGTGAAGGAGAGAAAGTTAAGCCCCAACCTCGTTGTGGGTAAGAATTCTACGGTACTAATTATATTGAACCTACGCCAACGGTGCACACGCCACCGCGTACGGTATTTAAAGAATCAGAATCTTGATTTATTCTGGAGAAATCCGATTAGCTCTTTTTTTTTTACAGATGTCCAGTCGTTTCACAGATGACCAGTAGAGGTTCTGTCCTAACCATGATCACCATTCACGTCGCCTCGTTGAAGGGAGACAAAACACAAACTAATAAAATTACGCAATTTTTGGCCAATAGCCATGTGTAACACATCGTGTGCAACACACGTTCTGAGCCGTGTGTAACACACGCCGTGTGGTAGCGTTGGACAGCCAGAAAGGCTGCGCTCTTGGGCGCCGCTCACCCGGAGGGCGGTGGTGGTGATGGAGTGCAGCGCCACTATCTTGTCCAGGTTCCCCTCCTCCAGCTCGCGCAGGTACGCCTGGTACAGGTCCTCCACGTCTCTCGGCACCACCACATGGTGCTCTGCAGTGGGAGTCACACACTCACTCACGTACCCATTCGCTCACTCTCCCACTCGCACACTCACCTGCTCATTCGCTCAACCACTCAGCCACTCGATCACACACCCACTGACGTACCCACTCACTCATGTATGTATGATGCCAGCATAGTGCGGCAGAGGCGGTGTCTGCGGTGGTGACGGCGGTGGCTGCGGCGGCGGCGGCGGTAGTGGTGGTGGTGGCGGCGGTGGCCGCGGCGACGGTGGTGGTGTTCGTGGTGGCGGGGGTGGCTGTGCCGCCGCCGGCGGCGGCGGCGTTACCCACCGTGGATGAGCTCGCGCTGGTGCTGGATGACCTGGTCGCACAGCCCCGCGTGCTGCTGGTAGCGGCGCAGCACGAGGTCGCGCTGCCGCAGCAGCGTGTCACGCAGGAGCGCGCGCGACTCCAGCTCCGCGTTGTCGGCCTCCAGCTCGTGCACCTTGCACAGCAGCGCCAGCACCTGCCGCTGCTCGCCGCCGCCCAGCGCCGCCGGCAACGACTCCTCCAGCCGCACGGCGCGCGCCTTCGCGGCCGCGAGCTTCTTCTCCAGCTCGGCCTGCCCCGGCGGGAAGGCAGCGGGCGGCACCGGCGTCATCGTCGCTGTCGCGATCGTGACCGCTCGTTGTCATTATTATTATTATTCAATGGGTTTTCTTTTTGAATGCGGTATTGTCGTTGTGGCTGCCACCTGCGGGCGCAGGAGTCTCACACAAAGTCACAGGTGGTTGGCACCGGCCTGCACACTCGGCAGCTGTAGCACTGTTAGCGCACCCGCTGAGTGACACCAGCAGAAGTTCACTCTTATCTGCTCATCGACAGTAGCTTCATGCCGAAGAACGCTAGGATAGTTGCTCCCTAACACACCAGCTCCTTGCCACTGTTACAAGAACCTGCTCTTCAACAACAGCGTGAAGGAGAAAAGATCCCCCATGTAGCCTTTAACAGACCGTTGGGACAAGTGCTGTTAGCGAGTAGCACCTACAAAGGCCGGCACACAACACGAGGGAGTGGGTGGCGAGCACCACGCCCGACCGCCTTTGTCTCCCCAGTGGCGATGCTTACACATCCTTACCTGGTACTCATTTGAGGCACACATACACGCGCACACACGCAAACAACAACAACAACAACAACAACCGCCATTCGCCACTAAGTGGCGGTGACGTCACCACGACGCTTGTGCCAGGCTATGTGCACCCTGAGGCCACGTGAAGTGTCGAACGCCCGCTGGCAGGAGGTCACGGGGCAGACCCAGGTGCCACGGGTCGACTGACTGAGATGACTGGCTGATGCACCACCTGTGCCCCCTACTGTGCCAACCTGCTGTGCTTTAGCCACCCGGCGCTCCGCTCGCTGTTGTGAGCGTCGCTCCTCCGCCCTCCGTTGTTGTTGGAGGGCGACTGCCTCCAACTGCCCAGTAGCATCCTTCACGAGCCTCCTCCACAGAGGCCGATCTTGACACCGCTGGTACCAGTCATCGGCAAGTCCACTCAGCTCCACGTCCTCCTGTACCACATCACTCCATCTCTTCTCTAGCCCGTGCCGCGCCCGCTTAGCCCCCTCAATCCGGCCAAACAAAAGCTGTTTCGGCATGCGGTGGCTGGGCATGCGGGCTACATGACCCAGCCATCGCAGCCTTGCCTGCCGGAGGAGCTCACCGATGGGACCCTGCCCAGATCTTTCAAGGATTTGTGAGCTCCTCACACAATCCAGTCTGGTTAAACCCAGGATGGATCGTAGGCAGGCCAGCCTAAATGTTTCTAACCGGCGAAGATGTTCCATTAGGGGGGTCCACGTTTCGCAAGCGTAGAGAAGGGAGGGAATGACCGTGGCCGAGAAGACCTGAAGCTTAGTGCGGAGCGACAGACCAGGTAGCTTCCACACAGCATTACGCAACCGATGAAAAGATATTGCCGCTCGACTGATTCGGAGTGAGACCTCTGCTGTTAAACTGGAGCCAGTCATAAGCACACTGCCCAGGTATGGGAAACTCTCCACTCTCTCCACAACTGCCCCATCACCGATTGGGAGTTGTGGGGGTGGAGTGTCCGATGGTACAAAATACCCAGGCAGGTGCTTAGTTTTGGTGGGGCTGATGGTAAGGCCCCACCTCTTAGTGGCACGCTCCAGTCTCAGCAGCAGCGTCTCCAACTCCTCCTCTGACTGAGCAGCTATTACCAAGTCATCAGCATACATAACGTGGTTGAGCAATAGGGAGCCATCCCTTGACCGCACCCGGGCATCGATTAGCCTCCCATTATATCTGTACCATATGGAGATTCCCCCGGTACAGCTATTGAAGGCTTCACGAACTACGTGGTCAAAATAGATGTTAAATAATGTGGGAGCCAGAGGACATCCCTGTCGCACCCCAAGGTGTACAGGGAATGGCTCTGACTCCCGGCCACGTAGTTTTACCCGGGCCCGCTCACCATCATGAAGGTCCTTACAAACACGCGCACAGACACACGCGCGCGGGGTGATCTCCGCGCGGTCCACCAACCCGCCGCCCCCCCCCCCCCGCGCACCTTCAGCTTCGACGTGTTCTTCTGCTCGGCGAGCATCGACGAGAGCTCGGACCTTGCGCCCGACACCTCGGGGGGCTCGGGCGAGTCCGGGGGGTCGGAGTAGCCCCCCTCCTCGTCATCTCCATCGTTGTTGTCGTCATCGTCGTCGTCATCGGTCCGGCCGCCACCGCTGCGGCGCTGCTCACCGTCGTCGGAGTCGCGGCCGCCCTTGGACTCGCGCCGCTGCTCGGCGCGCCACTTACGCACGCGGTGCTGCCGCTCGCGCTCCCAGCTGGGGGGGGGGGGGGGGCCGTGGGGGGGGGGGCGGGGCAAGGAAGACGGGGGTGGTGGTGGGGGAGGTGGGGGCAGCATGGGGACAAGAATGAAGTGACAGCGGTGATAATGGAAAGTCGAGGAAGTGGTTGAGCGGCCAGGGCGTGGAAATACATTTTTAAAAAGGGTGCAGAGGAGATAGCGGAGAGCAGAGAGAGTGGGTGGAGAGAGGGAGAGGTGGCGATAAGAGTGGAGGAGAGGGGTGAATAAGAAGGGAGGATGGCCCAAATGGATGGAGAGGAAAGGTGGCAGAGAAGATAGGAGTGGAAGTGATAATAGGGAGCATAGAAATGGGAGTTAATAAGAGCGTAGAATATGGGTGGCCAATAGAGTGGAGAGACAAGGCATTGGACAGAAGAGAGCAGTTACATGATAGGGGATTGTAGCAGACGCGTAGGGGTGGTAAATTTGCTGCACTTAAGAACACGGTTTAATCAGAATCTTTATTTATCCTGCAGAAATCCAATGGGCTTAATCTTGGGCAGCGAAAACCCCAATTCACACTCAGCTCACTGGTCTGGACGCATACATCCCGCAACTCCGATTAGCATGGTTAGCTACGTACGGTGCAAAAAGAAGTTCACCGTACATTAATTATTAGCCCCCCTTGGCCACTGGATGTTCTGAAAACGACGGCGCTTTTGATTTTTTTTAGTGAATGCAAAACCCCTAAGCCAAGCGCTGGCTTCCGGTCCTGTTGTGTTGAAGGCAAGTCGGCCTCCGCTAAGTTTGTGGATTGTGCATATTTCTAGGATGTGGTGCACGGTTTGCTCCACCCCACAGGCACATAGGGGTTTGCTCTTATGCCCCATCGGTGGCGCTGTCCCATACCTGTCAACCCCTTATCAGTGCCCTACCTTACTACAGACCAATTCAGACGTTACTCGTCACCCCTTGCCCTTATATATCTCAACGTTCATCCAACAAAGTCCCATCACAAGGGCAAAAAACAAACAAATATACATTTTTTTAACTCAATTTCCCTGCACAAGAATATGGATAAACCATATGGGTTGACAGGTATGCTGTCCGCCACTCACTCGGAGATGGTGAGCAGGTGCCTGGACATGTCCATGTGCATGGCGAGGCTGGAGTTCTCGAGCTCCATGAGGCTGCGGCGGATTTCCATCTGCTCGCGGAACACGGCCAGCAGCTGCTCGCGAAGACGTGACACTTGGCTCACCTCCTCTGTAAAAGACAACGAATCCCCTGTGTAACCTGAACAGACTGCTGGGGCAAGTGCTGTTAAGCGAGCACCTATGAAGGCCGGCACTGGCACACGAGGGGGTGCGACGCCAGCACCACGCCAGGCCATCTTTGTCTCCCCAGACACACGGCACCAGGTACTGACTTGTCCTGGGCCTCCTAGGGGAGGCCCAGGACAAGTTTAGATATTCGTCGATATTTATTGGTTGCGAGTGCGAATTGAACTCGGGTCGCCGGCTTCGTAGTGCAGTGTGCTAATCACTGTTCTGCCACCCCCCCCCCCCCCCAAACACAGACAATGACAGCCGTCACCCAAAGAGCCAAACAGACTTGGGGCAAGCGCTGTGGGCAAGCACGTACTTAAGCTCGCGAAATGCAAAGTGCAGTCAAAAAAGCTCATCGTTCGAATGACCCTATCTCAAAATCTCTAATTAGTCTATTAAGTACATTATTTCACACACACGTGCAATAGAGTCAAGGCACGCGCCTTGTCCATCATACAACGTTTGTAAATCACGCGACGGATGCTTGAGGCTCCCAATTGGCTGGCACCGCCACCAGATCAGAGGTGGGGAGGTGACGGCAAAGGGAGGGAGGGGTCAAGAGGAGACCTCACCCTGCACGTGGCGGATCGTTGGCCGCCCGTCCTTACGCGGCTGGTCCAGCACCGACTGCTGCTCGATCTTGGCCTTGAGCCGCTGGATCTCGCGCCGCAGGTCGGCGATGATGCTCGTGTACTGCGCGATGTGGTATGACACGTTCATCAGGTTCCTCCGCACCTGAGGAATCGATGGGTCGGGGTGGAAGGGGGTGGGGGCGGGACGAAGATGCGATGCGGTATGTTGACCTTCTTTCGCACCGTACGTAGCCAACCAAATGCGGGATTTTCAACACGAGTTCAATGCTGTCAATGCAAATGAGTGCTGTTGGATAGTGGCCATTCAGTGCCATTTACTTGTATGTATGTATGTTGAACTTCTTTCGCACCGTAGCTAGGATACCGTGCTAATCGGAGGTGCGGGGAGAAGGACAACAAACTAAACCCAAAAATCAATTGCAAAGAAATTAGTTTTCAATCTAGATGTAAAAGTGCATAGCTCCCAGTGGCTTACTAATATCGGAATGAAGAGCGTTCCAGACAGCCGCAGAAGCGCGTCTCAAGCGCGTGATGCGGTGACCGTTTTTGTTCGATGGTCAGCCAAACGCTTCCTCTGCAAGGATGACCGGAGTTTGCGTGATCGTTTACGCTCCTTGACGTACACGAAGAGACGAGGCAGAGCTCTCCCACGTGTTTTCGGCTCGCACTGCGTTTTTGGTTGGCACGACGTCTAACATTTCGCCCCACGATGTGAAGCTCCCGACATGCACGCGGAGCGGACCCAAAAAACACGCGTCGGAGAAAGCTCCACAGCAAAGGCAAAGATGCACCGTATGGCCCTTTAACAGACTTTTGGGGCAAGTGCTGTTAGCGAGCACCGATGAGCTGCATAGCTCAACCACAAAAGCCTCCGCAATAATCAAGACAAAGGGCCAGATTCCCACCTTGACGAATGTTTACTTCCCATCGGGCGGTTGCATAAAAAAAAAGTGGCGAGGTCTCCATCGGAGACCACGGGGCAGAGTGCGCGGGCGACCCGTCCCGCCAGCGGGGAGGTCGGGCGCGAGTAGTCTCCCCGCTCAAACCAGCGATGGGCGGTGCTCATCTCTCCATCGGTGGCCCGGCACCACGGGCGGAGATTCCACACTCACGTGGCAGATGCTTAAGCACATTGCCGGAACAACTCGCATCGACGGCCCCGGAGGAGTGCCGGGCTAAGTTTATCCCAGAGACTTAGGGCTTGAGGGCGGGAGGGCTGAGACGCCGCCGGGGGTGGAGGAGCTCACCCTGTTTTTGATGTTCTTGGCGCGGTCGGCGTAGGTGAGCGTGTTGCGCGACTCCTCGAAGGAGATGCTCGCCGGGCTGATGTGGGCGATCATCACCGTGCGGCTGTTCCCGCCCAGGGAGTCCTGTCCACAGCCGCGGTGTGGGCCGTTAGCACCGCTGGCGTTGTTACGCACCGGTTGGATTTGGATTGCGTACAAACCCCACGGTGCACGTTTTTTGTTTTTTTCTGCTTGCAGAGCATTATGGGTAAAAGTGTATATGTATAAAAAAGAAACTCTGAACAACGAAAAGGCTTTACACCTTCCGGCAACAGTGCAGGTGTGTTAAGATGTTCAAACACTAAATAGACACCCTTCACATGGCATTAATACTGGCAAAAAATGTACCATAGATATAAGCGGTAACTGTTCCCTGTCTCCAAATATAGATAACAAATTAATTTTCGTCCATCGGCCTCATTTGCTGTGCAGAGCGATGTTATCCAGCAGCATTTGTGGAACAAGAATGCCTCTGCTCATGAGACTCAGAAGGCCGAAACCAGTGCTGACTTTGTGTGCTTAAACAAATTCAGGACAATATGGCCTAGACAGCCAATAAGGCTGATGGAATAAAATAAGTACTGTATATATGTCAGATGCGGAGACACAGAGCGGAGTTCTGCTCATAATTGCTTACGTTCCAATGGTGCTTCTTGCCGTAACGGAGCACACACGGAATAAACCTCAAATCAGAACACTACAGACAATCAGTGCACGGCCCTGCTTCACAGAAAATCCCTTCAAGATTTCACCGCAGAATTGCTCGTGAAGCCAAGGTCAATAGACATCTTTATTCATGCAGCCAAATGAAAGAATTAGCAAGGATAATGCAAACCATGTGAATTAGATAGGCAGACAAATCGACCATTTACCTGTGTACAATTGGGGTTAAGAAATAGACTGTCATACTTTTTTTTATTCCATTACATTTGTATCGTAACAAGAACGCAAGCCCGTCACATCACGCTGCATTGCTTATTCAAACCAGGTGACATTGTTTATCCCTACCTTCTTTTCCCCTACCTTCTTAAGAGAAGGTAGGGATAAAGGATAGGGATAGGGGAACAGTGTCATCCGAACGCGGTTTACTTGCCGACGCGTTCCCGGTTGCGTGGCCACCGAGTCACTGACCCGCACGAGGGGCAGCTAACAACTGAACCAGCGCTCCCGCGCAGAGGTTAATCGCCAAGCAGGATTACCAAGCGTTGCCTACATCTCAGATGTTGCTTTTCTGAAGTCTCAAATCTCACAGTCCCCAAGGGCATGGCGATGGGAGCAATTTCCCCCTTCCTCGACCACCGAAACCTCAAACAAATGCCACTTTGTTGACACATACCTGAGAAAATACATTGATTTATGTTCTTGTTATATTTAAACACGATTGAAATTCTAGAACCACCAAACCCCCCCCCCCCCCCCCCCTTTGGGAAGGTCTTATATCGTGCCTTTGCATGGTCTGATAGGAGCCGGGTCTGTGTGGACCTACCTTGATGCCCACATCAAGGTCTATACCTTGAGGGCCCACATTGAGGTCTGCCTTGAGGTCTACCCGCAGGCCTACCTTGAAGCCCACCTTGAGGGCCCGCCTTGAGGCCCACCTTGAGGTCTACCTTGAGGCCTACCTTGAGGCCCACCTTGAGGGCCTACCTTGAGGCTCACCTCGAGGTCTACCTTGAGGCCCACCTTGAGGTCTATCCTGAGGTGTACCTTGAGGAGGCGTGTGAGCTTGCTGTCCCGGTAGTTGACGTACTGCGCTCGTCCACCGCGCTCGCTCAGCGCGTTGATGCAGTTCCCCAGGGCGAGCAGGGAGCGGTTGATGTGCGCGCCCTCCTTCATGCGCTTGCCCCTGTTCTGCGTCTGCTCCCACCCGGCGTCAACAACAACAGCCACCGCGCAAGACGTGCCATATGCCACTGCATCGTGATTGTGATTATAATAATCATGACGACAATGATTGTGATGATTAGTATGGTAATCATGAACATGATTATTTATCGTAATTCATCATCATGGTGGTGGTGGTGATCATAGTGTGGATTAAGCAAAGTTGCTCAAAATAAGCCTGAACGATAGTTCAAAATAAAGTGAATGATTGGATGAGTGGCTGGGTGGCTGGATTGTTTTTGTGGGCACCTGGGAAGGTACCGAGCTGGCTGAGCAGTTTGGTAGGTAGCTGGGAAGGTGGATTGCTGGTTGGGTGGCTTACAAAAGGTAGTTGTATGGCTGGCTGCAGTCTGGGTGAGGTGGTTGGCTAGTTGGATGGCTGATTGTACAGGTAGCTGAGTGTCTGTGGAATGAGTGACTGGATAAATGACTGCATATGTGGCTGTGTGGCTGGCTGCGTGGATGGATGACTAGCTGGGTGACTGAGCGAGTGGCTAGCTGAGTGTAAAAGTGTCTTGAGCGGGTGGCTGGACTGGGTGAGTGGCTGGCTGGAAGTCTGGATCGGCGAGTGGTTGGCTGGGTGACGGCTTTATCGGCGACTGGCCGGCCTGCCGGCCGGCCGGTATGACCTGACACACACCTGGGCCGCGCGCTCCGAGCCGGCGAGGTCGATGAGGAAGAGTCGCCCCGTGCGCACCTCCTGGCTGATGTCGCGCACGCGGCTGCTCTGGCGCACGGTCACCTGCAGCACGGCGTGCGAGCGCGACGACGCCTTGTTCGCCGCCGTGGGCTCCTGCGTCCGCTGCCGGTTCCCCTTCACCAGCAGCTGCATGATCTGCGCAGGCGCCGGTCGGGGAGAACGATAGCGTCTGCTCGCTTGCAGGATCGTCTAATGCAGTGAGTGGTTCTCCTTCGGGCGGTGGTACGCGGACCTCTGGGGGCTACGCGGCAATGTCCCAGTGGGTACGTGAGGTGATTTATAAATGTGTGAAATTATATGACACCTGAGAGTCATTGGTGAATAATCATGCATTAATCTGCCAATTTAAAATAACTACGATAATATTTTAACCCATGAGGTAACCTAGAATGATATTGCAGACATTTCTGAACCCATTGATCATAAACAATGTGGTTTCCAAGAGTAACCAGTTAACGCGAACAAATGACGTCATTAATACCGAGCCTCCGTAGATTTGTTTTTACTCGCAGTTACAAGCTAGTTAGGATACCTAAAAACATGGATAATTATAATTGGTTAAAATATTGATGTTCGTTATTCATACATTGATATTGGCAAGGGGGTATTTGGTTGAAACTAAATTCAACTGCGGGGGTGGGGGGGGTACAGTAGCCAAAAAAGGTTGAGAAACACTGGCCTAAAAGATCCGCTCAAACCATTGTCATTTTTCTAACAATGACGATGAGAAAGATTGTCCTGGTTAAACTGCATTCGGAGAGGATGTCACCTCACACACACTGTTGAGGAAGGCAAGAGGAAACGCAACGCTACCACCGCCTTAGTCATGGCTCAGTGGAAGCCACTGGAGCCATGCACTTTTAAATCTAGATTGAAAACTAATTTCTTTAGAACTAATTTTTGTGTGCCAAGTTTGCTTTCCTTCCCACCCGCACCTCAAATTAGCACGGTTTGGCACGTACGGTGCGAAAAACGTTCAACATATACAGTATACATCCAATTAAATGGCGCCGAATGGCCTCTATTCAAAAGTGAATAGAGAATGCCGGCTGCTGCTAATGATGATGATGACAAAGTGTCTTCCCGCTTAGCTATAGGAAAGCACTCGTTTGCATTGACAGCATTGAACTCGTGTTGGAAATCACACATTCGGTTGGCTACCTATGATGCAAAAGAAGCTCAACACACATACAAGAACCCTGGTATTGTGTGCGGTGTGGTGAGCTGAAGGGAGAAAGTGCGATTGGATGGGATGGATGGAGCCTGAGCCTGGACCTGCCCTTGGGGAGAGAACTTGAGAGAGACAGACTTTGATACTGGAGATTTCGCAAGTCATACTTAAATGTGGCAAAGATCAATGTGGCTTAATAGCTATATTGATTTTGACGATGCAACAGACACTGGATATAAGCATACATTTACATAAGCACAAATGTCATAAAAGGAACACACGCTTACATTATCACTGGTGGGAGGCAGTGGGAGGCTAAGACCAACTTCTGATACAAGCACAGCTGAGCTTGCTTCCTATACGCGAACTTATATCCAACCTCTCCTGTCCGCCTCCAATGTGGACTCTGAAGCAACCCTTCAGACTTTGCTGAAACTGGCTAAGTTGAATTTATAGAATGATAGCATTTTATAACTCGGTGAGAACCATGTTAAATAGCTATTCAAACTGGTATAGTATTCCGATTGCTGTCAGAGTATATTTAACATTCACTTTGAGCTGATGGAATGATTGGTTAATTCCTCACTTGATTATTGGGCAATTTCTCCAGTCATGGTGATCGTGATAATTATTGATAAATTATAACAATGATGACAGCAACGATGTAATCTGATGATATCAATGACGATGGTGACGATGGAGGTGACGATGATTCCCGCACCTCCTTGGCATTGCTGGTGGACACCTCGGTGATGCCCGCGATCTGGATGCCTCCCTTGTGGTCCTCTCGTAGGTCCAGGAAGCCCGTAGAAGGGTTGAGCAGATCGCGAATCATCTCATTATAGATCTATACATGCACACATAGAACCCTCAAGGTCAGAGTCTTCTTTCGTGACCAGGCAATCTCACCAATTGCCTAGGGTGAGTTGTATAAGAGCGAAACGCACAGGTTGACTGCAATGCTGCAGCGTCTAACTATTTATTATACCGATTCTAATTATACCAAGGATCAATGGCCGTGTGTGCCAGCGTCACCGTCCAAAATTTGGCAAAAATTTTAAACATTACCTGCAAGTTACTCCATCGCTCAATTCGAAGAGCGCAGAGCAATCCTCGCCCTCCCCTGCGCTGTGATGGTGGCGCAAACGCAGAAAATGCGACCCACCTCCAGGTATGACATGGTGACCCCGTACTTCATGTCGTCGCTCGTCGCCTCGATGGCGCGGAAGAGGTCGCTCAGCGTGCGCATGTAGATGCCGGGGTCGCGGTCCGTGCCCAGCATCGTGTAGGTCTTGCCGGCCCCTGGCAGGGGGTGCGGTGGTGGTGGGGGGCAGGAGAGGGACGCAGCATTCACAAGGCAGCCTCTCGTCACAGGTGGTGGTGCTGTTGGAGGAGCGGAGCGGTCGAGTGGGGGTCTGTTTGCGTGGGGTCTGTGTGTGGGAGCGGTGGTGCGGCGGTCAGCGCTGCTGCTGCGCTACGAACCCGGCGGGCCCGAGTTCGATTCTCGCTCACGGCCACCAACACCAGTGACCATTATCTGAACCGGTCCTGGGCATCCCCTAGGTCGACTCAGCCGCAAACGAGTACCTGGTGAAATGTGTAAACATGGCCACTAGGGATACAAAAGTGGCCAGGCGTGGTGTTGGCCACCCTCCTCCTCATGCTCGCTAACTGCATTTGCTCCAACAGGCTTGGTGTGTAATACCAACTGTGTGTGTGTGTAATGCGTCTTTAAACACATAACATGCATGAGGGTATGTGGGGACCACGATGTCCGTGTATTTGTTTATCTTTATGCCTGTCTCTGTGTCTATAAACTCTCGATCTCTGTCGATTTCTTCCTCAGTATCTCTGCCTGTCTCTGAGTCTCTGTATTTACCAGTGTCTCCATGTAAGTCTCTCAGTATCTTTCCTTTTTTATTTCTATCTCTTGCTCTCTGTCTATCTTTCTCCGTGTATTTCTCTGTGTCCGTCCGTCTATCTATCTATCTTTGAGTTGAGTTTCAGTTGTGTTTTTAACTGCAGGAGGGTCTCCCTGTGACACTCGTGTCTCCGTGTTCGTCCCCCCTCTCTCTCTGTGCATCTCCAGGGCCCCTGTTCACTTAGTGGGTAGACTTTCACGCATGCGTGCGCGCGCGCCCGTGTGTACATTAACGCGTGAGTCTGTGTATCCATGCGTCGTACCCGTGGGTCCGTAAGCAAACACTGTGGCGTTGTAGCCAGAGATCACGCCCTCAATGAGCTCCTTTGTCGTCGCCAAGTACACTTCATCCTGGAGAAACACAAACGAAACATTGCTGCCTGAAAACGAATGACTGTGGAGCTGCCTAACGAACGTTTGTTTTATTTTAACCAGGCCCACTGAGCTGTCTAGCTCTTTTTCAGAAGCCACCCAGCCACAAATGATAGCTCAACGAAGTGGCTTATCGTGTGGAAATGTATATCAGACAAATACTCTAAACGCATGTTGATTCTAAATGTGGAACAAAAAAAAACGGAGAACCCGGAGAAAATCCACGTGACCAAGGGGAGAACATGCAAACTTCAAATATACAGCAGGCGTCGGGGTCGGGATCGAGCCCACGACCTCCTGTGTACCAGGCGAGGTAGTTAACATCTCCTAGCCACCGTGATGATGATAGAGAGAGGCACGCAAACTCCAAACATACAGGCGTCGGGGTCAGGATCGAACCCACGACCTCCTGTGTACCAGGCGAGGTAGTTAACATGTCGCCACTGCAGCACCCCAACCACTTCAATTATCCACAACCACTTCAACGAGCAATTAAGTGAAGCACTTTGGGTAATATACTGTATATTATTTGTTATTCTGCATAGCCACATAACAAAAAATCAGTCCATCAGCGACCAACTTTCCAGACCCAAGTTAATAGGTAACATCCGTATAAGCACACACACTCAGGAGTGGCCCCCTTCTCTGTCTCTCGCCTGAAGAGTCGGGCTTGCCAAACAAACATTGCTCGTTTACCAGATGGCCTACCAGATGGCCTGACTGGCAAACACATGGCACTCTCATATATTATATAAGGCAAGCATTCAGAGGACAAGCACGACCTAAGCGTACACGTTTTTATTTACATGTTTCTTTGTACAAATATATATTTCAAAAGCGGATGTGTTAAGACCCCCACCATAGGAACATGGAATTTCCATCGCAGGTTCAGAGCCACCGATGAAAGGGACCACCACCATCCCGCAGCTCATTTGAGGAGGGAGACTATTTGACCTGAATCTCGTGGTTGTTTTAAAATAACAACGGGGGAAAAAAACACACACACACAAAACCCTGCGAAACCTCCCGAAAAGAAAACTACAGGAGAACAATAAGAATAATAAATCGCAGTGAAGATTGCGGAACTATTTTCAGAGCCCCACGCGGCATTAAGGTTGAAGCCCATGAAGAACCTCACGCCAGCGGCCGCGGTTGTTGGCAGAGTGGCGGCGACCGCTGTGTGCACGGCCGGGAGCTATGATCACAGCGGAAAGAATAACACGACTGACGGCACACAAAGCCACCGGAGGAGTAACCTCCCCCGCAACTTTTCCCGCGGTCGGACACGTTCGTAACAGGGAACGCAGCACCCGCAGGCCAGGTGAGGCCCCTAATATGTAGCTTTGTTTCAGAGGCGACCGGGGCCATCACAAATGATAGCTCAATGAAGAGGGGCTTATTGTCGCGTGGAAATTTCGAGCAACCAAATGCTCGAAGCGCGTTGTCGTTGCTGTTGATTCTAAATGTGGAGGGAAAAAAACGGAGGACCCCGAGAAAAATTAACTCGACCAAGGGGAGAGAGACACCGCAAACTCTAAATATACAGCAGCAGCAGTAGGCGTCAGGGTTCGGGATTGAACCCACGACCTCCTGTATGCCAGGCGAGGCAGATGACATCTCACATGAGCATGTCATGCTTATTTGTTATGTTGTAGTAATTATATTATGGATATATTAATTCAGTGTAGTAAAACACACTGCGTCATTTCATATACTAAAATCCCACACTGGTCGTATTGGTGAAGTATGGTCAAACAACCTGCAATGACCAACATGCCATGTAGAGGTGGTCATCCAGCAGTAGACTGACAATGGGTGAGACATGTATATTACGTGTATTTAAAAGTATGTTGTGTACATAAATATACATTGTCATGTTTGTGTATATACAGGGTGCTTCAAAAAAATGTTAATAATTCTGATTTAAAAAAATCCTCAGAAGCAATAATACCACAAGAAATGGGCTTCCACCTGGAGAAGTTTCCAGGCATATGTTGACAATGATGGCGAACAAGTGGAGACTCTTTTACTTTTTGAAGCTATTAACATCACATTCACATCATGGGGACCTCCTTTTCCAGTACCAAAATATAAGATTAGGTTTTTCCCCTTAATTCTGGCCACAAAACAGGTGTTAAGATGTTAAAACACCAAACTGAAACCTTTTGCAAGGAATCATGTCTGCATTAACCACAATGCTTGTGGTGAGAATGCAAACAAAAAACATACTCTGATAAATTTTGATTTAAAGCTTTCGTGACGGCAGGGATTCATATTCTTGGTTCTTACGGTAAAGTCACGTAGAAGGGAAACAATAAAATAATAAAAATATAAAAAAACAATAAAATTATCACGACGTTTTTACTGCAACACAAGCAATCATCATCAGGTGTGCAAACCACAACAATAATTTTTTTTTTCAAAATTTATTGCTGTGGTTTTCACACCTGATGATGATTGCTTGTGTTTGCAGTCGAAACGTCGTGATAATTTTTTTGTTTGATATTTTTTAAAATTATTTTATTGTTTCCCTTCTACGTGACTTTACCGAAAGAACCAAGAATATACTCTGATAATATATGCATTGTCTTTGAAACTTATTGGTGCACACCAGAGGACGCCAAAATGTAGACGTTGATTTTTTAAACACGCACGCACCATGAGTGAGGACCCATTAAACCCCGCACACAAATTCCAGTTGTAAGTCGACCACCAAAATGAAACCCGCTCATGTATTATAAAGTAAATCGGTAACACAAGGTTTGAAAGAAAACTCAACATTGGAACGCATAATAATAACAATAATAGCACAGGACTAGGAATTCCTTTGGCAGCGCTCGAATTCCGAGTCTACTTTAGGACGTCTCAAATGAAACTTTAATGGCAGGAAAGGTTAAAGTAAGGGATAGCGTGCCAGAGAGACGTTGCATGGGTCCCAAACTCTGAAGGCAACGCGAGCCGGACCATAGTGCAGACTCCCGTGCCGAGAAACTTGACATTGCCGGCAAGGGCCCCCCTTTGCTGCGAGAGGGCCCAACTGGACGCACCTGTGCCGTTAAACCACCAGCCCTGCCTGGTTCGCTCGGCGTCGGCCGCCAAAACCGACTTTTAATTTACCACACAAATATTGTGCGCTCATTTTAAAGGACGCTTTATTTTAATCGTGCGATGCAGCTGGAACGGTGAGCCACAGTGAGCTTGCAATGCAGAGGTCGCGGGTTCGATTCAATCTCACGGTGAGGAAGTTGAAAGAAAGGGCAAGTTTTCTAAATCTCCCCTCCACCCGCCCCTGCCCACCCAGCAGCACAAATGGGTACACCATCGGCAAGGATGTACGTTGAACTTCTTTCGCACCGTACGTAGCCAATCGTACTCATCGGAGGTGCGTGTGTGGTGGGGTAAAGTATGGCTTCTCCTGCCTCTTCCACTCCCCCCCCCCCCCACGTGTACTGAACAAGCCTTCAAAGGCGTATTTTAATTAATTGTGTTGTTTTTAATCTGTAATTGTGGAATGCTTTGATGTCGTCTGCAGGCCGAATCGCCCTTTAACAAATATCTCCTTAGATCAGTGGGCTTTACTCTCTAGAAATAAACTTCTGATTTTGAGATGCTCACTCACAACAATTGGCCCAAAAGTCTGTTCAAGCTATACCGGGGGGGGGGGGGGGGGGATCTTCGTCTTGTCTTTGGTGAATTGGTTACTGCACTGTGCTATGCACTCAATGACCCGAATTTGATTCCCAGCGACGACTCACAATACTGGCGAGTAATATCTGCACTGGTGCCCGCCCCCACCGCCACTAAGCCCACTCAGCCTTAATGGGAACCTGGTGTAGAGTATAAACATCAGCACGAGGAAGACAAAGGTGGTGTCAGGCATTATGCTGTGATTCGTGCCAACCTTCGTGGATGCTCTCTCTAGCCGCCCTTGGCTCCAGAGTCAGGATGGCTACGTGTGGGTATATTTGCGTGTGCGTGCGTGTATATGTATGTGCGTGCGTGCGTGTGCGCGACGCGCGTTTGTGCAGAACATCCAGAGTTTCTGCTCACTTAATCTTCACCAAAGCAAAGCATCGGCAGCTCGAAAACCCCAAAGATTTCACGCGGGCACGCGCGCGAGTTTAACGCTCCGCATCAGATGCCCTTCACCGAGTAACAATCTATTCCACAAGGTGTAAAGAACGCTGCGTGTTTGACCAGAACGTTACAATGCTGCTCTTCCAACCTTTGCCCAAAGCCAGTTTGTAAAACATCCGCTATTGTACCTGTGTCTTTGCCGTGCTTGTGTAACAACATTGCAGAGGCGTGTAGTAAACCATCGCTCGGGGGGGGGGGGGGGTGTTGTGTTTGCCTCCCTGAGCCTCCTCAGACATTGGCAGTGAACTGTCCAACGCACGAGCAAGTCGGATGTGCAGAACGGCCTTTTGTCCCACAATCTGGATCGCAATTGCTCCGTGTGACTTTCTCTCCTTCTCGTTCTTCTTCGTCTCCCGTCTGTAAACGTCGCTGCGATTGAGCACGCTTGGAGCCACAGCAGGAAGCGCGGTCATGGTAACGCGGGGCGAGGGAGGCATCGACATCAACATCAACACGGGCGATCACGGCACTGGGCACCAAGGCTCGCACCAGCGACATCGTAGCGTTGCATCAGCAGCTTTCCGGGGGTTTTTTTTGTCCCCCTCGGCATTTAGAATCAACGTGCGTTTACAGTATTTGGCTGCTGTAATCTTCCACGTGATGAGCCACTTCGCTGAGCTATCGTTTGTGGCCAGGTCGCTTCTGAAAAAGAACGATACAGCTCAGTAGGCATTACCTGATAAAATAACAAAAAAATGTTGAATACTTTCCCATTATTCGGTTCAAATTATAAATTTATGATCACTGCAAAGTTGTCAACAAGGAAAAACGTTGACTCTTCGACCAACTGGCATGAGTCGAATTATCTGGGAATTGTGGGTGGAGCGGCAGTGTTTGTGTTTGAGTAAAAACATTAGCAGTGTTTGAAATACTAAACATGCATTAGTGGTGCAATGGTTGGCACACTGCACGTGAACCCGGTGACCTAAGTTTGATTCCTGGCTAAACATCAGTAGTGAGTCATATCTGAACGAGTCCTCTTTAACCCTTCCACTCACAATGGCCAGCATGGGGAAGTAGGATATCAATAAAAAAAACAATGACTGGCCAAGCATGGGGAAGATGGTATCCATCGACGATCTATAGATTATTATAACGGAATAAAATGCGTAACAAAACGGAATAAAAGGCACGAGGTAGGTGAGACAAGCACCCCCTAACAGACTCGCCTGCGGTGAATGAGCCACATGAGCCATGGTTCCTGACTTTACCAGAAGCAGCAGATAGAAAAATAAAAGTTTTCTGTTGTTCTGTTCCTTTTAAAATCCGCCAACCATGCGTTTGTTCGGCTGCACGTTCTTCTCGTGCAGCCTCGCGTGAAGCCACGACGCTGGACCTTCTTCTCGTGCAGCCTCGCGTGAAGCTACCACGCTGGACCTTCTTCTCGTGCAACCTCGCGTGAAGCTACCACGCTGGACCTTCTTCTCGTGCAACCTCGCGTGAAGCTACCACGCTGGACCTTCTTCTTGTGCAACCACGCGTGAAGCTACCACGCTGGATCTTCTTCTCGTGCAGCCTCGCGTGAAGCTACCACGCTGGACCTTCTTCTCGTGCAGCCTCGCGTGAAGCTACCACGCTGGATCTTCTTCACGAAACAATGCGGGGGGGGGGAACGAAAATAATCGTGGGACGGGGTGAGCGTGGACACGCGAGGGCACAGCGTCACGCGGCCCCAGCCACGCGTGGCCGCGCACACAGACGCAGCGCGCGCCCAAAGACAAAGGTGCCTCCCGTATGGCCTTGAGCAGATTGTTTGGGGAAAGTGCCGTTGGGGAGCAACCTGTGAAGGCCGGAGCGGCACACGAGGAGGTGGTGGGGTCAGCACCACGGCCCGCCTGGCTGCGTTTGTCTCGCCAGTGCTGATGTTTTACATACCGCAATAGGTATTCATTTGAGGCTGAGTCAATCTAGGAAAGGACTGATTCAGATATTCGTCATGGTTGGCTATGTAGGGTGTGAAGGAAGTTCAACATGCATAGAATAAGAATAATATCTCACGATACTGGAAGAGGGATAGAGCTACATGTAAATGCGCTGGTCTTGAGTGGTTTAATAATTGTTATTATTTTTGTGAATCTGACAATCAACAAGAGGATGGAGCCAGGGGAAACAGGACAGGTGGCAACCCTCGTGAGAAGTCAACAAGGATGAGAGAGGATCGAGAGGCCTCACCTGCGTGGCTGTGCAATCGAACGCGACGTCAAACATGTAGGTCTTCTCGCGAGACCGGTTTGCCCGGAGGATGTCGTCGGGGTCTTCCATGGGATCCATGAGCACCACCATCTGCCGTACACCACCACAGACCGCACGTGATGTCATCTTCAGCAACGTCGCAGAACCTCAGTGCCATCATCATCATCGTCGTCGTCCTCGTCCACAACGGCATCACCAATATCAGCAACGCAGCCATGAACGTTACCATCGTCAACATTCAAAATATGCTTTACCAAAATTGCCTTCGGTGCAGTGGCATAGTGAACTAAATTATCAGCTCGGGGTGTGGCAATCGGCCAGGTGGCGCCCCAATATATGATTTGTCTCGAACGGTTTGTCGCACCTAGGCTACAATGTACCATGGCTCCTTTTGCCTAACCACATCGTTACGCTCACGGTCTCGAACATTTAACGATGTAGGGAGAGCTCTGTTTTAAATACGTTTTTATTATTTTATATTGTTTTAAACGTTTCTCATGGTGGTTGTCAAGGGGGCCCCAACTCGTAGCTTTGGCTACCGGGGGATGGGGGGGGGCAAGGCAGCCCTGTCCATGGTAGTCACGCTATTGCTTCAGTGTAATCAACATTATCATCTCTCTTGCAATGAATCGCCGTCATTATACAATCAGCACGTGTGCACGATACGCAAACATGAATAACATAGATGCACAACGCAGGCTAAAATACATTTTTGCTGTTGCTGAAATCAATGAACAGGTTTAGAAAAAAACAGAAAATATATCTTGAACATTTACGTCATATGTGTGTGCATTATGCAGGGAAGCAGTGGCTTGGGCATTTACACGACTGCCAGTAAAATCTTGACTTCAAAGCTTTCGTGACTGCAGGAATTCACATGATTTTGGTCTTTCGGTAAAGTCACGTAGATAGGTTCAAAGAAAATAACAAAAAATTACGACGTTCGATCGCAACGCGAGCGTTCGTCATCAGGTGGAGAAGAAAGAGGGGTTAGCCTCTAAAGGCAAACTGTGTATAAAGGTTTAAAATGGGCGGAGGAGCTTATGTTAGTGTCAGGTGATTAAAAACGGTAGGCTGCTACATGTAGGATGGAAGTTATGTTAATGTGATGGGGATGGTGATGAAATGGCAACATTACAGAAGATGGGTACAAACTGAGCAATCACTGCAAGGACGTTATCAACCAGTTTAAGTCATAACTGGCTGTAATGTTGCCATTTCAGCACTGTCCGTTGCTAACCAGTTTTTCAATCCCCCATCACATTAACGTAACCTTCTCCACCCTACATGTAGCAGCCCGCCGTTTTTAATCCCTCTCATTAACAAAATCTCCTCCGCCCATGCTGCCCCAGGGCCCTTGTGCCCCGCCCGCTCCGTTGTGACACTTTTAACCCCCCCCCCCCCCCTTTTCCTGAAGACGCTTGCGTTGCGATCGAAACGTCGTAGTTTGTTTTAATTTTCTTTGAACCTATCTACGTGACTTTACCAAAAGACCCAAAGAATACGACTGCCGGTCACCCAGCTTCAACCCTTTACCATGATCCACAATATAATTGTAATCGGTATCTGAACCTGTGCTGGGCCTTCACTAGGTCAACTCAACTCCGTCCTAAATGAGTACTCGGTGTGGTAGGCTCAGCCTCAACGCTTGAGAGATAAAGGTCGCCTTGGTCGATGGCAACGCAGCACCGAAGACCAAAGTAAAATTCTACCAAAATAAGGTTGGATTGGTGGAAAACAAAACCACCCTTTAATATCACTCGCAAAAAAAAACCGTGCAAAACGCCCACTTAATCCGTGAGTGCCCCTGTTTCTCTATTGTGCCGTGAGCCCTGGCTGGCAGGTGTCTCAAAAGAGGTCGCAGGTCACTTTTCGCGATCGATGCGGCTGAAGAGGCCCCCGCAGGCAGGAATGGGGGTCGTGCGTCCGTTATTCTGTAGATGGCCGCTTCGAGTGGCCACGGAATCACTCCCACGACGGTGGTTCAAAGAGGACTTCGGGAGCGTCGCCTCGCCTCACCTCTGCTGCTGCTGCTACAAGCAGCCTCGCAGCAGGAGCAGCTGCCACGGGGCGGTTTGCGATGATCAATAAAAGGGGGCGCACGGACTCGGATTGGTTTTGGCGACGGCGGTTGTGCGTAAGAGGCCGTCTGACACTGGACGGAAGCCTTTTAATTAAACGTGAAGCCATCTGCCCTGTAGAAACCGCCACGGTCCCTGGACAGCTGGGAGTACTTTATTAATACACACACACACGCGCGCGCATCACTACTGTATTCCAGTAAACCGGCAAAAAAACGTGCTGCAGAGCCAAACGGAAAAAAAAACAAAGTCACATGGGAGGCGGTTGCGTGGCTTAGGAGAGCGGTCTGCTGAGCCAGCACGGCTGAGATTCTGAGTTCAAATCTGAGCTTCCGCCACCCGCAAATGTGCCCGAATGCAGCGAGTTTATGGCCTTAGCCTGGTCACCCATGACTGTAAAAAATTAACCCCCAACACATAAAATGGGGGGTTTTCATCGCATTTGAATAAATTCCAGTTCTGAGAAGAAGAAAAAACGCATGATTTGCAATGTTTATAAATGACAAATATCTCTGGATCAGGGTATACGTGAAAGTGCTGCGCCCCTGGTATGGACGAGGTCACTTTGAGGGATCTCAAAATTTGTTCCGTGATATTTCCCTCTGGGGTCCCTTGTCGAACACTTGGTCGAGCATTGCCCTGCGAGGGTTCCAAACGGACTCTTATTCTCACGACACCGACAGCAAAATTTTAATAAAATTAAGGAAACCGAATGTTATTAAGTGAGTCACAGAGCCGATGGTAAATCACGGAGGGATGACGAAACGTGGGTGGAGTTGTGCACAAGTGGGATCAAGTGCGTCAACAACTTTCCGCGGTGGCGAGATGTTAACTAGCTCGCATGGTATACAGGAGATCGTGGGTACGATCCAGACCCTGACGCCTTAATGCATATTTGGAGTTTGCATGTTCTCCCCGTGGTTGTGTGGATTTTTTTTCCGGGACATCTCGGTTTTTCCGTCCACACTTAGAATCAATATGCGTTTAAGAGTATTTGGCTGCTACAAATTTCACACGATAAGCCACTTCGTTGAGCTATCATTTGTGGTCAGATCGCTTCTGAAAAATAGCTATTTTGCTCAATGGGCCTTACCTGGTAAAATAAAAACAAGTTTAAGTGTATAGTTTAGTTCCAAAGCAACATTCTCACGTGCAACAGTCTGCACCGCATAATTAAACCGATTCTGAATTGGTATTTGGACTTAATTTAACTATATCCATCAGCTGGAGGTATGAAATAAAATGGAGTAACATGTTTATGCAGCTATCGAGTTGTGCATTACAGGCAGGTTAAACGGGTTATTTAAATGAGATGCTGGAAGTCCCGTGGGGTATCTAATTTTTGCCAAATTGTTTGTCTCTGCCATGTGCAATAGACTCAAATATAATGTTAAATTGTTCATTTTATTCATGGGTCTGGGTCAAATGTTTCACCCGTCAGTACCACCTGCGGAGGCAAATTCTAAGTGGTCCCAATTAAGTTAAATGGCCAGTGAAAGTGAATTTTGTGATAACCTTTTTAAATTACTGGGTTTTCACATAATTTCATTTTATCGACTATATAAAGCAATAAGCCCGACTGCACTGCTCTGGCACATAGATTATTTTGGTTCATAAGTGATATCAAGATCTAGGTCAAGAGGTTACCATGGCCACTGCTGTTGATGCCACCATACTTCATCATTTGCTTCCTTCTGCTGGATCCCAAAGTTGTTATAACGTTCATAACCGACATTCACGGACTGCCCTGACATTATCTCACCATTTGGCTCTTTGGTCTACCCCTTGGTTTGCTGATCTCTGGATGCAACTCCATTGCCTGGCTTTGTAACCTGCCCACCTCCACGCTGCACGTTTCCCATCCACAATCCACGTTTCCCAACAACCTCTGCTTGCTCCTGCATTCAAAATGAAGAAGTTCATTTCGTGATATTGCATGAGCACAAATTCAAAATAAAATATGTATTTGTTCTGTAAACGATGTATAGGCATTTGTCAATCCATTGCTGGATGAAGGACTCACTATATTGTGTAGGTCATGGGGTTGATTGACCATACTTTACCATGTTGGCCAATGCGGATTGGTGAACTAAAATGCCCAGGGCCGGATCAGACAACCCTTGCCAGGTAGCCACGTCCTGGGATTCGAACTCCGCGTAAGCGGGTTCACGGAGCGGTGGGCTCACCACCTCACCCCCTCTGCTCTACCCCATATATCGGTTACACTCTGAACACGTACGGAGGCAGTGAGGAGGAACTCGCCGTCATACCCGTCGTTGTTTTTCACTGGAGCCACTCGCACCCGCACGCCTGCCCCGGCCGTGCCCCGTGGGGACGGAAGAGCGGCTTAAGCGGGCCTGCTTGTGAGTGCAAAAGCCCGTGTGAGGTTTTTTTTTTCCCCCATCGTGATTTTTTTTTCTCACACCACGCTCGCTTCGGCTCGCATGCCGTGAGCTGGAGCCGTCCATTTCTCGATGCGTCGTCGGGAGCGGAGTTGCGTACTTTTTTTTCTGTGTCCCGGCACCCGGGCCTGAGAAAAGGCGACCGTCCTTCACGAGCCTCCTGCCAGAAGATGTATTTGCCAGCGGCAAACACCGGTGTATTTGCTCCGGTGAACTTTCAGGAGCGTTTGCTGCACTCGCACCACGTGCCTGCACGTTTCATCCTGCCCAGTGGTGCTTCACCACCCCCACCCCACCCCATCCCACCCTCTACTGAGCCACGCAGGCGTGAAGCTGGTTTAGTGGCACTCAAACCACACTTTTGGAGCCTTGGCAATGTTAAAACGCTAGATAAGATAAGCCAGGGCTGGCTGGAGAGGGATAAGGTCACCTGAACCAGACGCGAGGGCATGCCCTTTGTGTCGTGAATCCCGTGTGACCTTACAAAATAATAATGTATGCAAGGATGAGAGTATATAATTAGGCGGACGCTCCTGATTGTTCTGTTTGTTGTTGTTGTTGCGTCAATCTGTCGTCGTGCTGTTGAGACCGCTGTGGGCACGTTGTG